CGCTGATGCCTTAATTCTGGGTTTCAGGCTGTCTGGAGACCAGACTGGGGGATATTGGAGGCAAACAAATCATAAATTTATCACCAGTTCAAGGTATTTGAATTCTGGTCTTCTCCAATTTACTTTTCAGAGATCTCAAATAGCTATTCCCTGCATTCTGGTTTATTCAAGCTGCATTCGGTGAGAGAGCTTATTTTCACTGCCCTAAAAATCCTCTGTGCTCTGCTTATTTGTATCCCCTGCCCTTGGCAACCACTGCTTTTTTCATTCTGCAGTTCTGCTTTTTCCAGAATGCTATGTAGCTGGAATCACACAGTGTGTAGCCTTTTCAGATTAGCTCCTTTCACTCAGGAATATGAATTTAAGATTCCTCCATGTCATTTCATAGCATTATAGTTTATTTCGTTTTAGCACTAATATTCCATTATGTGGATATACAGACCATTCATTTTGAATTTAAGTCTACCATCACACCATTTCTTTTCTTTTCTTTTTAAATTTTATTATTTGACAGAGAGAGAAAGAAAGAGAGAGATAGGGAGGGGGAGAGAGAGCACAAGCAGGGGGAGTGGCAGAGGGAGCAAGAGAAGCAGAGTCCCCACCAAGCAGGGAGCCCGATGCTGGGCTTGATTCCAGGACCCTGGGATCATGACCTGAGCCAAAGGGACTGAGCCATCCAGGTGCCCCATACCTTTTGTTTTCTATTTCTTTATGTTTGCATCTTCTTTTGAACTAAATCTTTTGCTTGAGATTCCATTTTATCTTCACTAATAGCTTATCAGCTTTATTTTGTAGCTTAAACTTTTTTTTTACCTGTTCCTCTAGTGTTTACAATATACATATTTATCATAATTTACCATTAAATTGCTTCATGTCCAGTGTAAGAACTTAATATATTTCCATTTTCTCAATTTTTTTTGATTACTGCCATACATTTTATGTTGCTATGTTTTGAAATCCGTAATACATTATTTTTACTTTAGTCAATTATCTTTTACAAAATTAAAAAGTGAGAAAATAAAGTCTTTTTTAGGAACTCACACATTTACTATTTCTGACATTTCCCATTCCTTTGTTTAGATTCAAGTTTCCATTTGGTGATATTTTCCTTTCACTTGAGGAACTTACTTTATCTTGTATTGATGGTCTGCTGGAGATGAATTCTTGCAGTGTTCTTCTTCTGGGCAAGTTTTATTTAGCCTTCATTTTTGAAATATATTCTAAATATAGAATCTAGGTTGACAGTTGCTTTTAGCACTTTGAAAATGTCATTTATCATCTGGCTTACATAGTTTCTGAAGAATATTCTGAAATTATTCTTTCTTTGTTCCTCTGTTTAATTTTTCTCTGGTTCATGTTAAGACTTTATATTATTATAACCACGTATTGGCAATTTGTTTGCAATATGTCTTGGTGTTGTTTTCTTTGTGTCAATCTTACCTAGGGTTCACTGAGTTTCTACAATCTGTGGGTTATAGCTTTTATTAAATGAAAGAAAAATTTGGCCATTATTGTATCTTCAAATATATTTTCTACCCCGGCTTCTTGCAGGGACTTCTTTTATCACATTTAAATTAGAGTGCTTCATAGGGGGTGGGAGGATGGGTTGGCCTGGTGGTGGGTGTTGAGGACGGCACGTTCTGCATGGAGCACTGGGTGTTGTGCACGAACAATGAATCATGGAACACTTCATCTAGAACTAATGATGTAATGTATGGGGATTAACATAAGAATAAATAAATAAATAAATAAATAAATAAATTAGAGTGCTTCATATTTTCCCACAGGATACTGTGGATATGTTTCTTTAAAAAATCTTTTTTTCCCTTTCTGTGCTTCATTTTGGATACATTTATGCTGCATCTTCAAGAACACTGACCTGTTTTTTCTGTTAATTGCATCGAATGACATTTTCACTTCAGATATTATAATTTCCATCTCTAGAAGTTCTTTTTGGATTTTAAATATATTCTCATATAAAAGTAGTTAGTAGTTTCAACATGCTTGTGTGCTAATTTCATTTCTGGGTCTGTTTCTATCAACTGATATTTTCCTGCATTCAGTGCTTTATTGGAAATTTTGGCCATGACGAATTTTATGTTGTTGAAGGGTTTTTTGTCTTCCTTTGTTGCCAATAAGGTTACTTGGGTCCATTTTTTTTTTTTTTTTCTTTTAAGGCTTGTTTTTAAGCTTTGTTAAGGAGCATACAGGTTAGCCTTTATTTTAGGGATAGTTTATTCCCACTATGAAGCTATGGTCTTTTTGGACTGCATATATTGACTCCAAAAGGAGTCCCCACTCTAGCTGGTTGAAACTCATACCCCACAGCCCCATGTAAACTCTGAGAACTATTTGTTCACAGCTGCCCCAGATGCTTTGCTTGATCTCAGGCATTTCATCCTATATGCATACATCTTAGTACTCATCTAAAACTTAAGGGGACATTGTGTGTAGATTTCTGGAGGCTTTTTCTGATTAGCATGTCTTCTTCAGTACTCTGCCCTCCAACTTCTGGCTTCTATTCATTAGTACTAGCATCAGAGTTTAGCAAGGTTAAAAAAAAAAAAAAGTGTTGTATTTCCTTATATAATCCCTTCATATTTATACTATCATAGCTGAGAATTTTCCTTACTTTGAAATTTCCCTTTCAAGTCTTTCCCGGTTATATTTTAGGGGATTCCAAAATTTTGTGGTGTACTGGTCTTGCTATTTAAATACCAGCACATATATAATGGCAGTGAAAGAAATACAGAATGTAGACAAGAAGGCAATATTAAAATCACACACCTCCTTCATAGTATTCTAAAAAAGCTGAATCAGTTACTCTAAGGATTACTGGGTAATGAATAGTTAGGATTTCAAAATTTCACTAGACATAAAATAATATTTTGTTGTAATTAGGTAGGAGAAAATTCAAATGCTATTTTAAGTCTCCCTCAAGATTAAAACATGAATGAATTAGCACTACCCTTAAAATTTAGCATTAAGATAATAAAATGGTTACCATGAAGAAGAAAGCAACATTTTCAAGTTTCCAAATATCAATCCAAATACCAAAGCTATACAAAACCCAACCAATCAACCAAACAAAAACAAATGAAAATGTAATAAAATTTCATTTGTGTCCACCACACTTCAGTTTTGCTGTGCTCAAGCTTTTTGGAGAAAGAAAATGACACCATCAAGGTTTTATTTCCATAGCATTGCAATCTTAAAGTGAAAACATGACAACAAGGTGCTGCTTTACTCTAATAGTGTTTATCTGCATCTACTAAACTCAATTTATGCATCAACAGTGAAATCAAACTATAATTGAATTTTATGGAATATTTTAGACATATAGAGAACAATATAATGACCACCTGGACCCACCACTCAGTTTTGTCAAATCTTAACATTCTCCCACAGTTCCCTCAATCTAAAAGGAATAACTCAGATCTATGGCACTGAACCCTCTTTACCTTCCCTGCTCCTATTTCTATCTCTCCTCAGGGGTAGCCACTATACTGAATTCTGCAGTTACCATCCTTTAAGTATCGCTTCTTATTTTACTACATGTGTATGTGTAACTGTTTCAATGTCTTTAAACTCCATATAAACAATGTATTGTAGGAATCATTCTGCAACTTTTTTTGCTTAATGTTGCTTCTGATATTCACAAATATATGATTTATCTGTTACAGAGATTTTACTGTATGCAACTACCATATATCTTTTTTAATGGACATTCAGGTTGCCTCCAATATTTCACTTCTACAAACCATACTTTTGTTTAGATTGTTGTAGACAGGCTGCAGGGGAGATTGTTCAGAATACATGCCTAGAAAAAAACTGGTTTTAGTGATGGATATTTATACATCTATTCTTAACTTGATGGTAGCAAACTGTTCTCTGAAGTTGTACCAATAAAGACTACCAGCAGAAGAGTATAAAAGTTCCATTTGGCTACACAATTGCAGGCACTTAGCCTTGTTAAATTTTATGTTTTTTTCCTGTAGTGATGGATAAGAAACAGTTTCTTACATAGTTTTAACTGGCCTCTCTCCCTGGTTACTAGTGATGTTGAGTATCTTTTCATTGAAGTTTGTTGTACATTCAGGTTTCATATAGTCAGAAAGCTTTCAGTGAAGGTGGGGGAGGACAACTTATATGTAATAAACAATTTAAATAAAAAAAGGTTCCATAGTCAAATTCTAACCTTTGGAGCTAAGGGTGTAGGTACATAAGAACTGTAGGTTCTCATCAGAGTGAGCAATCAATGCGGTGTAAGACAGAGGAATGTGGAATTAGGCCAGTCCTTGAGCACTAAGATTTGAGCAGGTGGAGACAGTGGAGAGCCCCCTAGACATATATACTGAACACCGAAACTACTGAATGGCATTCTCTTTAATTTACACTTCACCTCTATGGGTGATATTTCTCTTCAGTCACTTTGGAGGTGAAAGTATTTTTAGTTATGTTTGCAACTTAGTAATGTATTAGTTACTGCTTAAAGAAAAGTTTTCAGAATTTTTTTGTGGTACTCAAAAGCTACATACTAAAGCACATTTTAACTGGCAGGAATTATAAATCTAATCTAGAGTTTTCTTTAAATCACCACTTTAATGAAATGATATGCCATCTAAAACTTATGCAGCTCTAAGAACATCTTACCTTACTTAGCATCTGTTATATTGCTTCAAATACAGTGGACACACAAAAAGTCATTGTAGAATGAAGGAATATTGTTTACTTCAAAATGAGTAAGTCATTTCTCCCCCTTTTCTTTCTTACCTACTTTTTTTTAATTAAAAAAAATTTTTTTTAATATTTTATTTATTTATTTATTTGACAGAAACAGAGATAGTGAGAGAGAGCACAAGTGGGGAGGAGTGGGAGAAGCAGGCTCCCCGCAGAGCAAGGAGTCCGATGTGGGACTTGATCCCAGGACCCGGGGATCATGACCTGAGCCGAAGGCAGACACTTAACCGATTGAGCCACCCAGGCGCCCTCTTTCTTACCTGCTTTAACTGAAAATGGCTTTTCCAATAGAAATATTGTTTGTTTCCAGTGTGTTCTGGCACTCTGGGGGCCCGTGGAGAACACGACCTGCATTGGTAGAGTTCAAAAGTATCTGATTTTTAATATCATGCTACATTAATCTACTCCATCAAATACAAGCTCCAATTGCTTACAACAGCAAAATGCTTATGATCAAATACCCTGGGGCACAAAAATAAAATACAATGTATTTCACATAATTAATTCTTATGAGAAAACTCATGATACTTACCCTGCTGTGACAATCCTTCTCAAAATATATATCAAAGTAGCCAGCAATTGCCTATTAAAAGAAAAAAAGGGAATATAAATAATTATTAAACTAATTACATGACATAATTAATTATTCAGTATTTCAAGACATGGCAACAAGAAACCATTTCAAAGACTAGATACCTCTTAAATTTATGACAGGCCACTATTTTTTCCTGGAAAAGATGTTACATGTAAAAATAAAGTAATATAATTTGGCTTTCCCCCACAGAAACAATATAATAATAAGGGCAACAAGGCTAATCAAATAATCAATATGTGTTTTATCAGAGAAATGACTGTGGTAGACTACTGAAAAGTGAGAGACCACATTAAGGAAGAGGCCTCAGCCAGCCCCTACCTGACCCATGCTCTCCCAAAGAGAGGCCGCTGTGCAAGCTGAGCCATCTTGGAGCTCTTTGCTCCAGTCAAACCAGACAACTGCAGCAGCCTGAGAGACCCAGGGAGAAACCAGAAGAAGAACTAGAGGATAAGTCCAGTCCAGATTGCAGAATCATACACAAATAAATCTAAATCATTGTGACTTCAAGGCACTCAGTTTTAGGGTGGTTTGTGACAGAGCAATAAATTTAACTTAAACATACTCTTTTATACAAAGATCTCATTTAATTTCTTCTGACCTTGTGCATCTAATTTTAAAGCAAAGTACTATGAACATTTTTGTGATGAGATCAACGGAATTTTTAAATGTCACATTTTTTTTTTCCTGAAGATAAGTGAAAAATATATAATGGTACTCAAATAAAACTTATGTTTAAACAAATACCCAAAGGAGAACCTCTGAGGTCACTCTAAGGATTACCGTGATAGTACAAAAAGGTCTCTAAAAGATGAATATTCAGATGAGGATATGTAATTTTCACTTCTTTTTGTTTAAAATTTAAATGATACCATCCCTTTTTCTTTCACTAATGGAATTAGCCTAATCTATTTTTAAAACTGGCAATAAAAAAAGCTTATAAAGTGTTAAAAATAGGACACCGATGACTGAAAAATCACTATAAAGCTAATTTGTGTACTCTGCTGCTTTTTGTTGAGAATGTGAAGTTTTATTGATCTGTGAGGTTAATATGGACTGGGCCCAAAACAAGTTCAATATTTAACACTGAGGTTCATTATATTTTAGATACCAAGAGAGAATCAAAGTACTATTTATAATACTGTGAAACAGACAAATATAAAGCAATGCAGTACTCAGATACAGATTATAGAAAACCATGTAGTTAATCAGAACATTTCTAAAACATGACTTCTTTCAGTTGTTTTCCTGGTATCCCTCCACAGACTAATTCAATTGTTTTCTTAAATTTATTCCTGTATGCCAGTCTTGTTCACCAGTGTCCAGAGCAGTGCCTGGCCCATAGTACACAATAAACATTTGCTAAGAGAATGTGCTTATTATATACAATTCTATTGCAGTACTTAACCATACTATCTTATAGTTACTCGCGCTACCAGATTGCAGTGTTTTCTAAGAGCAAAGCCTATGTGTAATTCATATTGTTGTGCCCCTTACCTAGCACAGGTCTGTCATATAGCAGGTTCTCAATAAATTTTAGTTATAATTTTCAGTCTTCAGTTTACTAAATTGAGCTAGTCTTATTATGTCATCAGGACACTTTATGAAATCAGCGAATAACTAACCTTAGATAGAACTAATAATTTTCAACTGAAAATAATGGAGTATGTGTGATACATATGGGGGAGGAGAGGAACCCTACTTCTTTGTATGAGCCTGCACAAGTCTCAGCCTGACCTCTGAACTACAGGTTGGATCCAAATTAACAAAACAAAGGCTGAGAGAATGGAACTAAAATCTGAATCACTGGCACAGGCCTCAAAAACCTAAAATCAACAAGATCTCAAGAACAAAGCAGAGATTTGAAAAACCTCTACAAGTCCGACTAATCACTAAGAACAGCATATGTGCATGAGAGCCCAAAACACTATAGCAAATGTTTAGAGAACGAGACTGAGATGTGAACCACCGCCTGCCCAAACACGGCTGACAGAACTTAATGTTTTGGCTTTAATTGGTCGACTGCCCGCTCACACCAAACATCAACAACATTCCCCAGATGATTATAATAGGGCCGAGAGGACACACAACACAACATGCATAACATCCAGAACACAATCAAAAATTATTCAACATACAAAGAACCAGGAAAATGTCTTTAACTTTCAAGAGAAGAGCTACTGCTCACATGTCAATTATGGGATGGCCCAGAAGCTGGTATTACGAGACAAGGACTTTAAGGCAGGAATTCTAACTATGTCATTATGAGGTGACAGAGATGAAGTTAGAGAAAACACACTGAAATGAAGTGAACAATAGGAATTCTCGTAGAGAAAAAGAAACTACAAAAAAACCCCAAAAAAACAAACAACTAATGGAAATTTTAGAATTAAAAAATACAATAACCAAAACAAAAAAACTCCCTGCGGTGAACTGCAGAATGGAGATGACAGAGAGGAAAAAAAAAAAATCACTGAATGTGAAGATAAGTTGATAGAAAGTACCTAATTTGAAAAATCAGGGAAAAAGATTGAAATAAAATGCAAGAGTCTCAGGGACCTGTGCATCTAACATACACATAACTGGAGGTTCAGATGGAAAAGAAAAAAACACTGGAGCGGGGAAAAACCTTTCAAAATTCTATATCCAGCAAAAATATCCTTCAGGAATGAAGGCAAAATAAAGACAGTTTCAAGTAAAGAAAAACTAAAAGAATTCATTGCCAAAAGACTTTTTAGAAGAGATGTTAAAGGTAGTTCTTCAAGCTGGTGAGCAATAATACTGGGAGGAAACCTGAAAAATCAAAAATAACAGAAAAACAACAGAAATGATCAATAGTTTGGTAAATACAAAAGATTACCTTTTCCCTCCAAATTCCTTTAAAATACTTATGATTGTTTAAGGCAAACATGACATAACATCATTTGGTGGGGTTTTCCATGTAAGCAGATGTAATCACAAAGATCAGTGCAGGGGGTTGGGGGGTGGTTAGGAGGAAGAAGAATAAAATCCCACCAACATATACAAGTGTTTATAAAACTGGGATGTGAAGAAGGCTTTTTAAGCACCACACATAGGCAGAAACTTAATATGAGAAGTTTAAAATTTTAGTATCACAACCATAATAAGATATTACCTTACACCTGTCAGAATTGCTAGAATCAAAGAGGCAAGAAATAATAAACATTGACGAGGATGTGAAGAAAAAGGAATACTTGGGCTGTTGGTGGGAATGTAAATTGGTGCAGCCACTGTGGAAAACAGTAGGGAAGTTCCTCAAGAAGTTAAAAATAGAAATACTACATGATCTACTAATTCCATAGGGTATTTACCCAAGAAAACAAAACCACTAATTTGAAAAGATACATGCACCCATGTTTATTGCAGCATTATTTATAATAATCAAGATATGGAAGCAACCTAAGTGCCCATCGATAGATGAATGGATAAAGAAGATGTGGTACACACACACACACACACACACACACACACACTGAAATATTACTCAGGATAAAAAAGAATGAAATCTTGCCATTCAACAACAACATGGATGGACCGAGAAGGTATTATGCTAAGTGAAATTAGTTAGAGAAACACAAATATCACATGATTTCACTTATATGTGTAATCTAAAAAACAAAACAAAGAAACAAAGAGACAAACAAAAAAACCCAGACTTATTTTTTTTTAAGATTTTATTTATTTATTTGAAAGAGAGAGAGGAATTCTTAATCTCAGGAAACAAACTGAGGGTTGCTGGAGTGGAGGGGGTTGGGAGGGATGGGGTGGCC